CCTTGCCCTTTCCTCACCCGGGTCCGGGGTGGCGCCCGCTCCAGAAGCACACAGCCGCTGGTTGGGGCATCCCTGACATGAGGCCCCTCGGCCCGCCTGAGCGCTGTCGGCCCCGGGACAGTCTGCGCAGAGACAAAAGTACAGTTAGAGCGGCTCGCGTGCCTTCAGCCCCGCCACCCACGCCCTCTGCGAGCTCACCATGAGGCACCTCCTCCATTCCGCCGCCTGTGCCGCCGACGCCGCAGCCGGAACCCGCGGCCGTGCATTTCCGCTTCGCGGGCGCGACCCGATTCTCCAGCCCCGCGAAAGAAGTCTCGCGAATAGAGGGCTGTGCGCACGCGCGAACCGTGCCCCGATGGGCGGGACTCATTTCTATTGCCTTTAAAACCCAGCTGCAGATACCTACCTTAAATACTTCAGCGCGTGTCTCCTAAGGACAGAGGCTTCGTTCTCCATGACCTCACTACCATTTGCATACCCAAGATATTTAATAATGATGCAATACTATTGACTAATAATAGTTTATATTCAAATTTCCTCAATTATCCCAAATAAGACCCACCCTTCCAAATCCTGGATCCAATCAAGAGTCGCTCACTCCGCTGTCGTTATGTCTGTTCAGTCTCCTTTAATTCAGACCTGTCCTTCCCTCCTTTTATGGGAAGTCTTTCATCGCAGTGGTAACTTAGACGAGTCCAGACCAGTGTCTTATAGAATATCCCATAATTTTGATTCATCTGATCCTCCCTCAACCCCAGGATTAGATTCAGGTTAAATTTTTTTGGCAGAGCACACTTGGATGATGAATACTTGCCATCGTACCTCATCGGGAGATTTGTCAGTTTGTCCCATTATTGGTGTTGTGAAGCTTGATCACTCGGTAAAGGTGGTGTCTGCCCCATTTCTCTAGTGAATGCTACCCTCTTGCATTGGTGATTAATAAGTGCTACCTGGGGTGATCCGTTGAGATCATGTGAATATTCCCTCCTCTGTCAACCTTTCACTCAGTGGTTTTAGCATCATTGCCTGAATCGGGGATATTGGCATTTGCAAAGTTGTGATTTTCTTCAGCCCCGTCTATTAGCTCTACATTTATTGACAGGCATACTCTGTAAAGAAGAACTTTCTTTCCTTTCCCTGCTGCCCCTGTTTTAATGAGACTCACTATGGACTCCTGGATTCTTTTAATTCTATGTTTTATAATAATTATTTTTTCTGGTCAATTTTTCCCCAGATTTGGCCAGTGAAGACTCTTCAAGCCAGCTCCTGTGTTCTTTGGACACTAATCCAACTTCTTTGAGCATTTTCTTGGTTTCTGACACAGTGAGATATTTCAGGCTCCCCTTCTACTTCCTGCTGCAGCCGTTTCTCTAGTGAGCCCTTGTTGCTTTTAGCAGAGAACAGTGTTTAGAAACCAAGATCTGGATGCTAAATGTGCTCATTGTTACTGGAGTATCGTTGCTTACTGGTTTGGCATAAATTATAATGTGTGAACAAACTTTACCTGGCCATAGGCACTAAGTGTATAAAAACTCGTTTATTAAACAGCAATGTATCAGTTGCCTGTCGCCACCATTGGCATTTTGTTGAACGCTTGCTATTTGACAGCTATCATCTGCATGCTTTTACATGAATTACCTACTTTATGTCCTTCAACAGGTCTATCCTCTGCATCCTACTATCTTCACTTTTGGATGAGGAAGCTGAGGTTTAAAATAGTTAAACTTTCTTAAGGTCACTTGACTAGTAGCAGGGGACCCAGGGTGGGGAACCTGGTCTGTCTGGTTCTAGCGCCTGCACTCTTCCTCCGGAACACACAGCACCGAGCAGCACTGGGTCAGGTGCTAGTGATTCCAGACTGATCTGGCCCCAGCCATCCTGGAGCCCAGTTTGATTGTGACCGCAGGTAATTAAACCTGTAATTACAGTGCGATAAATGCTATGACAGAAGAGGACCAGGGTGATGGGGCAGGAAAAAATTCCTGGAGGAAGCCATGTCTAAGTCAGAGCCTGAAGGCTGAGCAGGAGACACCCAGAATGAGATGGGGGCGGGGTGGGTGATGTGGCAAGTAGTGTTTCAAGGGGAACAAACAGGCAACATCAGCAAAGGCCTGGAGGGAGGAGAGGGGTTTGCCTATCAGGCACTGTTGTCATTTCATGGCGACATCTCCCACAGTCTCCCACAGTTTCCAAGCCACAAGTCTTACCATCCATTCCCCACACAGATCAAGTCACTCTGCTACTCATCAACCTTCAATGGCTCCCTATGGCCCCAGGATAAGGCCCAATTTTCAGATGGTGTTCAGTGGCCTCTGTGGCCCTTCAACCAGGAATGGCCATCCCCTGGCCCTTGCCGGTCCAGCCACTACCGGTCCTCCACGGCCTGCCAGGTCTCGGTAGTGTCTCCCCATGGAAGCCGTTCCTGGCCTGTGGAACTGGCCGCTTTTTCCTTTTCTGAATACAGTGCGTTCCAAGAGTCTGAGCACAGTTTTTTTGTTCTGACAACTTCCAAAGTATGAATGCTATAAACTTAACAAAAATTAGCATTTGAAATTTTGTGTCAGTTTCCTTTGTACTCACTTAGTTCCGTGAGTTTGAAAGAACAGATTTTAAATTTAAATTTTTTATTTCCGTCCTTCTGATCGAAGATAGCTAATGATGACTAAGACAAAATTAAAGTTAAAACTTTGTTGTTTTAAGTTTACAAAACTAGGTGCCAAAGATTTAAATAATTAAATTTAAAAATAAGTTTGCAAAATGAAGAGACAGGAGGAGGATGAGGGCTTGCCAGCAGTTCGGTGGGGAGGGGTGAATAGGGGCGCACGGGGGATTTTTAGGGCAGTGAGACTGCTCTGTGTGACACTGCAGTGGTGGGTACATCTCATTATTTGTCGGGTCCCCTAGAATGTACAACACCAAGGGTGAACCCTGATGTAAACTGTGGGCTTTAGTTAATAATGCGTCAGTGTTGGTTCATCGAGTGTACCCAGTTCACCACACGAATACAGGACGTTGCTGATGAGGGAAACAGGCAGAAAAAGGGAGTATATGGGAATTCTCTGAACTTTCTGCTTAAATTTTCTGTTCACCTAAAACTTCTCAAAAAGCAAAGTCTATTATTTTTTTAAAGTGTTTTTGCTTCAAGCTGAAATCCACCCTTTGACTTGGGATATGTGTACATACCTTCCCAGCCCAGCGACACATCTCAGTCACCTGGGGCCTCCTCCCCCACACCAGTTATAGCAGAATCTTGGCCGCGGGGTCTGGGCATGTTTCAAAAACTCTTTAAGGTTTTTAGTGATGGCACCGTGGACTTCCACAGTGAGGAGGGGCGAGGTGGCTGAGGGCAGATTAACAGGGGTTTACAGCTCGTGCGCTGACAGTCACGCGTGCAAGTCCGTATTCCAACTCTCATAAGCTGAATGATATTGGGCAAGTCACTGCATGTCTCTGAGCCTCAGTTTGTTCATCTGTGAAGTGAGAATAATAAAAGCAATTTCCCCAGGAGGTTGCTGTGGGGATAAAGCAATTTAATGCACGTGAGACGTCAAGCACGGGGCTTCCAGAGAGCCATGATCCAATCAACATTGGCATTTGAGTTAAGTTAGGCTTGTAGATTGTGCATACTTATTTACAGATGGGGGAATTGAGGCCTAGACAGGGAAAGTTGCCCAAATCACACAGTAGATTAGTGAATGAAACAAGACTAAAACCTGGGTCAAACTAGTTAAAAAGTTGCAGCAGGACGGGGGCACTTTAAACATTTCAACAGGTGAGCGAGCACCCTTTGAAAACAGGACTCTTGGAAATGCAGAGGAGGTGCCTGCAGTTCCTCCATTTCACCACGAGGTGGAGATCTTCCCCCATCTATGATCAAGATAATCAAAAAATAGGAAACAGCAAGTTAACTTTGGAAGTAGAGAATTTTCTACCTCTTCGCTTGGCTCCAGCAAAAATATCTAACAAGGCGATATATAACACAGCAGACACTTATCATGTAATTGAGTGAAAAAATAAGGTTCAGATGCGTTATATACACTGAAAACGGAAAGAACGTGGATTCTTGGACGCCAGGTGTCTGCAGTCTCATCTCAGCTCCCCATTTACGGGCTTATTATGTCGTTTCTTCATGCCTCAGTTTCCTTCTCTGTAAAATGCCAGTAATAACATTAACTACTTCAAAGGGTTATTGTTGGGAGAATTAAACAAGTGAACATGAGTAAAAACAGCTTTTAAAACATGCCCGACACAGGTAAGTCCTATATAGGTGTTAGCAACGATCAGTTTGTTTCTTAACAGTTCTGTTGAGGTCTGACTGATACACAATAAACTGCACCTGTTGGAAGTGTACAACTGATAAGTGTTGACCTATGTATATATACCCAAAAGTTTCCTCATGGTCCTGTTCTCAGGCAACCACTGATCTGTGTTCTGTCACTGTAAATCGGTTTGAATTTTCTAGAATTTTATGTAGACAAAATCACAGAGTATGCACTCTTTTTAAATCTGGCTTCTTTCATTCAGCATATTTAGTTTCATCCACTGTGGGATGTATGACGTCCACGTCTTCCGGTTGCTGTGCTGTATTCCATCGTATGATTATAGCACAATTTATTTATCCGTTCATCTGTTGAAGGACATTGGGATTATTTCCAATTTGGGGATGTTACAAATAAAGCCGCTATGCACATTTCTGGGCAAGTCTTCCTAGCGACAACATATACCTTCATTTCCCTTGGGTAAATACGTAGGAGTAGAACGGTAAGTGTGCATTTAACTTTTAAGAAAATACCAAACTATTTTCCAAGGTGGTCGTACATTTCCACCTGCGGTGTATGAGAGGTTTAATTGCTTTATACTCTTGCCAACAGTGGGTATGGCCAGTCATTTGGATTTTAAATATTTGAGTAGATGCATAGAAGTATATTATTGTGGTTTTAATTTGCATTAATTATCCTGATGACTAATTATGTTGAGCAGAAAGTATCTGTTCAAATCTTCAAGCTCACTTAAAAAGTTTTGGTTGGTTGTTTTCTTATTGAGTTTTGAGAGTACTATATACATATATTTTCTGGTAAGTCCTTTGTCAATTATGTTTGGTGAATATTTTTCCTAGCCTGTGACTTGTCCTTTCTTTCTCTTAAAAATGTCTTTTGAAGAGCTGTTTTTAATTTTGATGAGGTCCAGGTTATCAAGTTTTTCTTTTATGTATTATGTTTTTGATATCATATCTAAGAAATATTTGCCTAATGCAATGTCATGAAGATTTTCTCCTATGTTTCCTTCTCC